TCTGATAATCTTTAATTAATATCATTAAATATCATTTAATAAGTATTATTAAATATTAATTTTTAACTTTATAAATTGCATACAGACTATCACTACTTCTAGTTTATCAAAATTATCTGCTCTTACTGATTTATCAAGAATATTAACTGTTTTATTAAGAATATTATTTAAACTATATGATGTAAAATAAGTATATTTAATATAAAAAATACTATAATAAAGTTATATTAAAATAAGATTAATAACTCAAAGTGATTTATAAGCTTCAGAAGATAATATTTGATAAATTAAAAAGAATTGAGATATAAATGAAAAAGAAATAAGACAAAAAAATAGATTTAAGTAGAAAAGTATGGGCTATAAGTATATATTATTTTAATTCTCTTATATATATTATTAAATTTAAAATTTAAATAATTATAGAATAATTATAGTAATATCTGTTCAAGTTTTTTTCTAATTAAACTATAATTACAATTTAATGATTATAAGAAAAAACTTGAATCCTAACTCAACTGTAATTATTCTGACTATTTGCAAAAAATTAGAAAATATGAATAAACTAATACTTTTTCTGAATAATATCACTCAGTAGTAATCATTATAATTATAGCTTTATTAAATTTTATTGATAATTTTTATATCTCAATTAGATTATGAGAAGGATGAAAGATGTATATAATTTTAATATGATAATAGTTAAGAAAATAATTTTTCATATTTTTAGAATAAATATCTTATCTTCTATTAATAATCAAAAAAATTTCAAGAAAATTTCTAAATAAAAAATATCATTAAAAGTAGCTGAATATTATAACAAGTTATTTCAACTTGAAAATAATAGTACCAGTAATATTAATTATATCATTTATATTATCTTTCTATCTCTTCATGAAAAACTACTATCTATTAACTTATGTATATATATTGCAAGCATATATAATATTATACTAATTTTAAATTATTCATCAATTAAAATAAGTAAAACTTCATTATAATATCACATAAATAAATATAAAGTAAGTTTTTACTCTATATTATATATAATATTTATGACTAATATTAATTTTCTTTTAGAAAATATATTAAAAAAATACAAATCTAATATGTGAAAACTTAATAAATATCATTAAAAATAAAAGACTTGATGAAAAAAAATAGATTAGAACTTAAAAATAATAAAGATAATAATATTATTATTTAACAAAAAGCATATAATTTTTGCATAATAAATAATTTATTTACAGAAAGTAAAGATGAAAATATTGATCAATTAGTTGAGAATTATTAGAATTATATTTAAAGTAATATATTTATTAAATAGATTTTTATTTTAATAATAAAGAATTCTGAATTTAATAATAAAAATTATTAAATAATAATATTTAATGAAATAAGTTAATTTAATAAATTTATATTATTAAATAATAATATTTAATGATATATATTATTAAATAATAATATTTAATGATATATATCATTAAATAATATATATTTAATAATATATATCATTAAATAATATATATTAATAACTCTAATATATATTAATATATATATTAAATATCTATTTTAATATGCATTGATAACTCTAATATATATTAATATATAACTAATAATAAAAATTGATATAAATTATTTCAAAAAATTTTCTGATACTAATATATTTAACTTTTCTGATAGTATTTTACATTTATAATTTATAATAGTATAATGCATATTTATTATTATAAATGTATTCTAAAATAGATTTTTATTTAACTTTCAATAAATATACATTATAACTTATATCACAAAAACTATTTTTTATATAATAGATAGTCTAATATCTTTTTATTTCTATATAGTTATAATTATCTATATTTTTAGTTTATTTTCTGATATATATCAATTGATTACAAGAGAAGCAGATAGTAATTCCAATTTCAGATATATAACTTTTATAAAATTTATTAATTTCAGATCAATATATTATTAATTTTCTGACTTCAAAATATTTTTTGCTATTAGTAGGCAAGAGATCATTCTCTTTAAAATACTATAAGTAAGACTAAATTTGATGAAATAATACTTATCTTCAAAAGTTCATCCTATTTAGCATTAGTACAATTAGTTTTGCATTTTTTACTTAAGTTAATCATCTATTTTATATAATCTATTTATATATTTGTGAAAGTTATATTAAATTTTAGAAATTTATTAAGAATAATTACTTTATGACTAGACCTATTAGATTTGATACAATATATATAATTAAAATCAGATTCATTTTTAGTGCAAATACTTAAAAAATACTTCATAAAATCAGGATTATTGGATAAGTTATGTATATTCATCATATTTTGCAAGTAATATATATGATGAAAATAGGAGAGATATATATTGAATTATAGTAAAAGTTATAGATCCAAAAAATCATGATTCAGAAAATCATCTAATAACCTATTTTGCAATAATTTAAAACTAATTCTAAAAAATTTATTTGTGATAAAATTTATGTATAAATCACTCATATACTATAAATATATTATGACCTATTTTTGATATTCAGATAATTATTATATAATTTATTTTGGTATAAGAGATCTATTTCAGGTGAATTACAAGCATATTAATTTTCCAGCGATAGGAATATATGACACTCACCATTTGAGATCACCTAGTCTAAGATAGACAAATTCAAAATATACAAATTCAAGGTATACGTATTCAAGATATACGTATTCAATTAATTATACTACTTTTATGTGAAAAAAATAAATGAATATCCATAAATTTACACTGGTTAAAGTATGATTGAAATGCAGTTGATAAAATAATTAATTATATAACATAATATAATATGACTAAAGTATGGTTAAAGTGTAATTAAAATGTGATTAAAGTACTGTTATGTTAGTCAGAAAAAAATACTTATAAAACGAAGCAAAAAAATCTTCATCAAACCCAAATATCAAAAAATAATTGAATGGACTGATGCTCAAATCCATATACTTATTGATAAGCATAAAAATAGAAATGATGAATATCATAATCTTGGAAGGAATCGAATCAGATTTTAGGATAACATCGCAACCAGAATTAATCAAGATCAGAATATGAGCTTTAATGGACACTAATGTAAAAAATATAACACCAGCACCATCTATTGAGGAAGTTTCATCGATGCTAAATAGGAGTCGCCGTGAATCTCCCACTGGTCAAAGAGATCGATCCGCATCTCTAACCTGAAGAACTCCCAGCAGAAGAGACGAAACTACTAATCGAGATAATGCGAGTAATGTAAATAATGCGGGTAGAAATTTAGATAATGTGACATACTCATCTTCATCTGATTTGGCAAATATTACCCCAACCCTTAATATGTATGCATCACAAAATGACAGTGATTTTAGTATGCCCGATGGAGGAGGTAGTCAACCACTGGAATCTATAATGAAGAGGGAAGTTAGATTTCACTCTAAAAATTAAAATTGCTGGTATATTAGTTGGACTTTGTTTCGTGTAATTTTACTGTCAGCTCTGCTGATTCTTTTTTTCCACGTGATATTGATGTCACATTTCATCCAATAAAATAAAGTTTAAATCACGTAGGCTGTACCAGTATTTTGAGAATAGCAACTAAAAAAAAATACTCCCTGTGGAAACATAGAACATAGGACTTCGAAGATTCTCGTTAACTTTATACCGCAATCGTAAGGAAACAATGGTGTATATAATGAAGGTTATGAGAAAAAGTGTAGCCAGCGTTGAAGCGTACCATCTGGTCGACCGCAGTCATTTACGGACGGACAATAACGTTCCCGCTTATCCATGATGAATAACCTCGGTTTTTTCCCGACCTTCAACTTAATACCTAGCAGACGCTTGCGCAGGGATTGACATCCGCAGAATACAAACGAATAAGCTCACTTTTTTCTGCTCGAGTAAACCAACTACAACTTTTTGAAGGGAAAAAAATTTTTTTCATCTGATCATTTACGTGTACATGTATATTGTGATTTGTGTGACCTAATAAACAGAGGATCACGTTTAAGAAAGCGTCTTTAGTTACGAGATCTCACGTCTTCGCAATTAATATCAACAGAGTGGAAATGACAAGAACGCAAGAGGTTCGCGAAGAGCAAACCAACTTCTTGAAGAAACATGAAAACCCCCGTCCGTTGAACTTCTTTATAGAGTTTAAATATCGCAGAAAGTCATCTGGTCATCACGATTATAATCAACAATTGGACAAAGCGTTACAAGACGACCCTAATTCGGAGAAGCTGTTAAATTTACGGAGAAAATATAATCATGATTACAAAAATGACTGGGCGCGAAATAATAGGAAGCGGTAAAGAAAAGGAAGCGCGATGCTCATGCCACATTTCATGCTCAATTAGATGACGACCTCGATGGTGGAAATTTTTTTGATAGTCGGAAGAGGGTAAGTTGATTATTATTAATTATTTGTCTCTACGAAATAACGACATTTTTCGCTGGCTAAGAAAACTCCAATAAGGAGAATGAAGAGGGCAGTAGCAACAACAATATCGACAAAGAGGATGTGAATAATTACGAAAGTGAAGAGGAAGAAATCATTCGAGATGATGATGAGGTAGCTATGTAATATTCTAAACGAATGCGCTTGTAATGTTATTGACCCTTTCCACCATGCAGACCATAATAACAGATGTCTTAGAAAATGTCGTTGAATGCTCAGAGGCGATGAGAACAATTTGTTCGGTCTATATGGAACAACATCCTGATGGGGATCTCATTGATCTCCGTTCGTGTTCACCCTTCTTTAAAAAGCTTCCAAAATTAGTAGCAGATTCTTACCTTTCAGAATTGGATGAGATAACGGAATCACTGATTCCTATGAATGTGCATGATTTTCTCGTACAATTTTTTTCACAAAATATCTCTGATACCGAATGGCAAATTAAAGTTGATAATCTGCGACCTCCAGAACGGAACGATCCTCTAATGACTGCAGTAGTGCGAATTTTACATCGCACCCTACCTGTACGTGAGCAAAGCCATAGCAGATCTAACTGAGCAAGTAAAGAAGCTGTCTACTCAAAATAATCAAAATTCTGGTAATCATCCTAATCAAGGAAAGACTTGTTACAATTGTGGTAAAAACAATCATATAGCCCATGATTGTAGAATGCCAAAGAAAAATATGAATAGTAATAATAATAATAATAACAATACCTTAAATATTAAGTGTTTCAAATGTAATAAAATGGGATATTATGCCAATAGCTACACAGAAAGAAACATGAATACTAGACAGCCAGCCCATCTTGGAACCAATACTACCACCATAGCATCAGATAATAATTTTTTATTACAACAACTATAATAACTTCTAGATGAATAGTCCATAACATCTTCATCTTCTAATACTATCACTGCTAATAATAGTAATACTCTGCATTTAAACTAGAGTTTGTACCTGAAGAAAATCAGAATATGAGTCAATCTCAAAAGTCTTCAATAACATTCTTATAACAACTGCTAACTGAAATTATAGAAGAAAATAAAAACATAGAAAAAAAGAATAAAAAAGTAGTAGATACAATCCACTATGAAGGAAAAGTAGAAAACCAGCCTACTAGAATAATAATTAATAGTGAATCAGTTAGTAATATCATATCAGCCAGGTTCTTAAAACAAATAGAAAGAAAGATTGATAGGTCATCTAATATCAATCTTATAGGAATAAATGGAAAATCAGAATGATCACTAGGAGAAGTAGAAGGATTGAGAATAAAAATTAGAGATCTTGACTAACAAATAGGTACTTTAGTTATGAAAAAGACAAAGTATAATCTATTGCTTGACAATCAATGAACAAAATAATTCAAAGCTATTTTAAACTGGAATGAAGAACTTTTGAGTTTTGAAGTTGAAGGAGAGTCTATAATCATCCCAGTCACTTATACTTAACAAAGATCAACTATGAAATTGATCAGTCTTGAGAAAGAACTTGAGAGTCCTGCTCTTGAAAATAATGATGATAAATATGAATTTGAAAAAGAGGAGTTAGTTGACCAGTCACTATACATAGTACATGAAGAACAAAGTGAGCAGCTTGTACTGAAAGTAGAAATTCAAGAAAATCTTATAAAAATTAATGATAAAGTCATCAAACAAAAAGAAAAAGAAAGAATTCATCAAGAAAGATTAGAAGATTATAATGCTTGCATTCATAGTGAAAAAGAAAATAATTATGTTCAATGTAAAAAAGAACAAGACATATATAGATAGTTGAAGATACTATCTCAACCATTATTAAACATCACTCCAACTATGATTGAATCAGACTTGAATCCAGAACAACAACAACATCTTTACCAAGTTCTGGATTCATATAAAGATCTCTTTGATATGACTCAGCCTGGTAAAACAAATATATTTCAACATGAAATATATTTAGAAGAAGAAAAGCCTATCACTCTCTGATCATATCATTAAAAATCACCTATAAAAAATACTTTTCTAAAAGAAAAGATCTAAAAGATGTTGAATAATGAAATAATATCTCCTTCTGATAGTTCTTGATCAGCACTAATAGTAATAGTAAGGAAAAAGAATGAAAAGTTTTGATTGTATGTGAATTACAGAAAATTAAATAAAGTTATCAAGAAAGACTGATATCCTTTTTTATAAATAGATAAACTTTTAAATTCTTTCAAGAATGCTAAATACTTTATCACTATGGATCTCACTAATGAATTTTGACAAGTAGAAATGCATTCAAGAGATAGAGAGAAAATAGCATTTATTACCAATAAAGAATTATATTATTTTAATGTAATACCATTTGGACTTATAAATATTCTAGCTATCTTTCAAAGACTTATGAATAAAATATTTAAAGAATATATTGGAAAATTCATAGTTGTATATTTGGATAATGTGATCATCTACTCAGAAATCTGTGAAGAACATGTAGAACATGTATAAAAAGCTCTAGAAAAACTTTGATAGACAAATTTCAAACTTCAATCAAATAAATATGCTTTTGGAAAGAATCAGTTATCTTTTCTAGGCTATATTATAAGAAAAGATGAAATTCATCTTGATCTAGCTAAGATAGAAAAAGTATAAGAATTCCTAGTATTCATCAATATTACATTATTAAGAGAATTTATAGGACTTGTCTCTTATTATAGAAGATTCATCAAAGACTTTGTCAAGATAGCTGCTCTCTTATATAAACTATTTAAAAAGAATGAAGAATTTAAATAGACAGAAAAGTAACAGATAGCCTTTGAATCACTCAAAAAATATTTGATCTCACTACTAATTATTATGTACCCAGACTTTATAAAGCTATTTATTCTTTTTACTGATGCTTCTGGACTAGAATTAGGTGCAGTACTAGCACAATATAATAATAAAAAGAAAAAATACATGATAGCCTATACTAGTAGAAGAGTAAGTAAGAAAGAAAACAAATATATAGCAACAGAACTAAAATATCTTGGAGTTATTTGGGTAGTTAAGTTGTTTAGATTTTACCTATTATCTGATATTCTATTCATGCTTATTATCAATCACTTAGCACTCAAGTGATTAATCAATAAACCAAATTCTTTTGGAAGACTAATATGACTTTACAGAAATACAATTTTAAAATCAAACACAAACCCAGAAGAATTCATTCAAATATTGATCTACTTTCTAGAATACCACACACATCTACAAAAAAAAATAAGATCAAGTATTTTATTATAGAATCAAAATCAGATATTAACTTTAATATTTCTGAATTAAGTACTTCTTTATTTAGTTCAGGATCAAAAGATACATATATATAAGAGTATATAATATTATAAAGTAAAAAAGAAAAATTAATTATTCAAATATTAGTTATTTTTTTTTATTAAAAATATATAATAATATATTACTTGAAAATAGTATAACTAAATATATTTGATTTATCAAAATTGCTAAAATAAATCTTATATTTTTTAGAAATTGATTAATCTTTTTATCCTATTTTATTTATTAATTATCTTTAATATTATTATAATACTTTTATTTTATGATATTATATTAAGTTTTTTTACAGAAAAAGATTATTAGAGAGATCTGTATGATTAAAAGATATCTTGAACTCTTACTTGATAATTGATAAACTTTAAAAAAGTTATTTATGAAAAGATAAAATTAACTTATTACATCAAGATAGTATATTATTACTATTTTAAGATTATACAGTAGTGGTGGAAAAAGTGATAATTCTTTTCATTTTAAAAATTATGCCACCAGATCTTTTTTTACGTTACAATAATACTAAACCAGTTACAGGTATGTTTATTATGTGATTTAAGATGGGTAAAAAATATTTTTATCATTATTATCATTACACATGAGTTTTCTTGTAAGGAAACATTTTCTTGTCAAGTCATTATGAGAATGTAGATATAGGGAAGTCACCAAACTTTGAAGGATAACTGGATTTTCTACCAAAACATTATACAAATAGACTGCCAAGCTTGCTGAAATAAATAATCTAAAGCAAGATCAACATTCAGATCATTTAAAAAAACTTAGCCTTGGGTAATGGAAACATCTTGGGCAAATTGCGACTAAAAAAAAGTACAATGAGCAAGAAGATAGTGAAAACTCTCAATAATACTTATTCCAGTTTAAATATAGCATATAGACAGTTTGGCAAAATCTACAAGAACTTGAATTTAAGGTTTGTATTTCATGAAAGATTTCTTTTCTCACAAAATTAGCAAAATAACATTGGCTTGCCTGGGTGAAAAAATATCAAAAAAATGATGGAATACTACAATTTTCTCTGATGCATTCACCTTTCAAATATTTTGGAATATGATTCAGATTCTTTATAAAGCTGGACAACCAGTACCAACTTAAGGGATCATGAAATATCCATTTAAAGTGCATGTATGGAGAGCATTCTGCATAAAGGGAATTGTTGGATTTAAAACTTTTGTAGAAATTATGAACAGTAAATTATATCATGAAATACTGATCAAAAATTTATTTGAGCAAGCAAATCAGATTCTTAGTAACAAGTAGATATTTCAACAAGACAATGATCCTAAGCATTATGCTAAGCTTATGATCATTTTATTGAATGATTAGTATCCTCATGTACTTGATTGGCTATCATACTTACCAGATCTCAATCTGATCAAGAACTTGTAGTCAATTATGAAAAAAGGGTGGAGAAAAGGGTTAACTTGATAATTTATGAAAAAAATCTGTATCACAAGAGATTTTTATTAGAATAATAGAGGAGAAGTGGGAAAAAATCAATGTGAAATTATGTCAAAAATTAGTATGATCAATGTCAAAATGCCTTAAGCTAGTTATAGATAATAAAGGGTGTGAAACAAAGTATTAGAAATTAAAGTATGTACTATAGGCTAGTTTTAGTTAATTTTTAAGATTTTTTAAATAAAAATTACACAAATTAAATCATATCATTTGATTATCATTTTTTTCTGTCACTACTGTATGTATATAATTATTTTAAAATGATAATAGTGATTATGTTCATGACAGTTATTTACTTTTATAGCTTTAAGAGATTATATAACTAATTATCTTTTCAATAAGATGATATATATAATTTTACTTCTAACAAAATATGATTATCTTCTCAATAAGATAATTTATATGTATTTTACTTGTAACAAAAATATGATTATCTTCTCAATAAGATAATATATATAAATTTACTTCTGATCAAAATGCTTTCTTAATAAAGTAAGAAGAAAATAAGATAAGATATAAGATAAAATATATGTATTTATTAAAGGAAAAATATTAATTAACTATTCTTAACTCAGTAATAATTACTTCTATCAAACTTAATTATTCTTCTTAATCACTTCTTAACTCTCTATATATAATATTTTTCTTATTATACTAATTACAAATTATTTTTAACATGATGTTTCACTTAATTTAATCAAGAACAAATAAAATTTAAAAAGAATAATCACAAGGAATATTAAATACATAATAATAAAGAATTTGAAATTAGTAAAACATTAAGTTATTCAAAGCTAAAGTGAGAAAT